CAATAATATAATGATAACTCATCTCATCTCATCTATTTTCTTATTTTTAAGAAATAACCAAACAAAAGAAAACAACCTAACAACCTATTACAAGAAATAGGTTTCTTATAATTCATTTTCTTATTTTTTCCGCCAACCAAACAACATCAAAATAAGTTTTCTTAAAAAATCACTCGCCAACCAAACAACATCAAAATAAGTTTTCTTAAAAAATCACTCACATCATCCTATAATAAGGTGACAACTCATCTCATCTCATCTCCATTTCTTTGATTTCCTTCTTTTTTTAGCCCACCAAACAATCCCAAAACCTATTTTTCTTAGAAATAGGTTTCCTTTTATTTGATTTCCCTCTTTTTTTAGGCAAACAAACAGCCCCTTATGGAAAAATAGGTTTGGATGTTTGTTTATAAATCATGCATGAATAGGAGTAAGATAACAAATAGAAATTTCAGATCAGATGCTTGAAAGAATTTTCGAGTGAAAGGATCATAAAGAAAGTAAGATTAAAATAAGGGATGAGTAAACAACACCAAGCAGAGAAGAAATGAAAGCTTTCCTGCACTCGATCCAATTGATATCAAGTCCCTATAACCGAATTTCCTCCTCTTTCTCTCTTGTTGCCGAGCTAGAAAAACTTCTGTTCTCACTATTTTTTTCCCACACGAATAAATAACGGCAAGAATAGAGAGATTTGAGGAGGTAGTGCAGATAGGGAGGGAAACAAGGAAGTTGTTGAGATTTTTTAAGAATAGGGATATTTGGTTAAGAGGTTAAGGATTTAAAACGTAGAGATCTTTATCTGAAATCAAATTCATGACATAATATGGGCCTGTAGCATTTGGGCCCTAATTCATTAACATAACAAATCTGTGACAGAAACATTTTATCCCTAATAATGTTTGTGGACCTTAAGGTAACATCATCTAAGAAAAGAATAAGAAAATTCAGATGTGGGTCCAAAGGAAAGAAAACAATTTTATTCAATAATAGGCCAAAAACTAACATTAGGAAGAAGGATGTCCGGAAATGAATAGGAATTTATAGGTCAAGTTTCAAAACAACATAAAACATTTACAGACCAAAGATAGACTGAAAAAATGCAAGGTATATCCAACAATGGTTGTTACATGTTTTTTTAAAACCCACCAAATTACCTCTCTTGACACCTTATCATAACCTTTTTTTAGATCAAAGAAAGCCATATGTAGATCCTTTCTCTTCTCTATATCTCTCCATCAATCATCTCAAAATATGTATAGGTTCTATAGTTGACCTCCCAGGCATAAAACCAAATTAATGTTTAGATATACTTGTCTCATTTTTTAGTCTTTGCTCAATTACCATCTCCCAAAGTTTTATAGTATAACTCATGAGTTTTATGCCACGATAATTTGAATAACCTTGTATATCTCCTTTATTTTTATATATTGGTATCAAAATACTATTCCTTCACTCATCAGACATTTTCTTCGTCTCGATAAACTTATTAAGTAATTTAGTTAACCATCCTAAGCCTATATCTTCAAGACATCTCTAAACTTCAATAAGGATACTATCCAGTCCTACGGCTTTTCTCTTTTCATTTTTTAGAGCATCTTTAACTTCGCTAATCCTAATTTTTCGATAGTATCTATAGTTCATGTCATTCACTATATGTATATGGTCAAATTCTCTATTTTGTTCACTTGTTTGGTTATCATTAAGCAATTGATGAAAGTAACTCATCCACCTCTCTTTTATTTCCTCGTCGATCACTAAAACTCTTTGATTTAGCTTTTAATACACCTAATATTATCCAAATTCCTACTCTTCCTTTCTCTAATCTTAGTAAGCTTATATATCATTCTCTCCCTCCTTAGATTCTAACTGCTTATAGAAATTTTCATAAACTTTGTATTTATTCTCACTAACCACTCTTTTTGCTTCATTGCTAGCTTATATTTCTCCAAGTTTTCCCTGCTCCTATATTTTTTTTAACTTTTTATATAAAATTTTCTTCTCTCTAATAACATTTTGCACACTATTATTCCACCACCAATTCTCCTTACCGTTTGATTTATACCTTTTAGATTCTCCTAGTATATCTTTGGTCACCTTCCTAATACAAGAAGCTATGTTATTCTACATAATATTAGTCTCATTATTTATATTCTATATATCTTCTTTCATCATTTTATCCTTAAAATGCATTAAATTCTCTCTTTTTAAATTCCACCATTTAGTTCTTAGTCTGTTGTTCATGTTGGTTTTTTTACTCCACTTGTTAATAGATATGTCTAATACAATCAACCTGTGTTGTGTAGTTAAACTCTCTTCCAGTATAATTTTACAATCTTTGCATGTTAACCTATCCGTCCTTCTAGTAAGAAAAAAGCCTATTTGACTACTATTAAATTTACTTTTAAAGGTTATTAAGTATTCATTTCTTTTTCTAAGAAGTGTATTTGTTATTATCAAATCATATGATGTTGCATACTTTAAAATTGATTCTCCCACATCGTTCTTATCTGAGTTGATCTCCATACCCGAAACCTTCATGTATCCTCTCATATCCATTATTATTCTAACAACATGCCATTAAGATCTCCTCTTATAAAGAATTTCTCTCCTAATGTGATTTCTTGTACCAATTCATCTAAGCTATCTCAAAATTCCCTTTTAGTACTCTCAGGCAAGTCTACTTGTGGTATGTAAGCACTAATAATATTAATAATCTCTACACCTAATACAACTTTAATTCGTACTATTCTATCTCCAACTCTTTTTTACATCTACAACACATTCTTTTATTATGTTATCTACAAGAACTCCTACTCTGTTCCTATTCTTCTCTTTTCTCGTGTACTAAAGCTTATATCTAGTCTTTTCAATTTCTCTAGATTTTATACTTATCCATTTAGTTTCTTGTAAACAAATTATACTTATCTTTCTTCTAAGCATGACATGTACTAGTTCCATCGTCTTTTCGGTAAGTGTACTTATATTCCAAGTAGCTAACCTAATTTATTCTTCTGTAAAAATCTCCTACTATTTTTCCTTTTATGATGTTCTAGTCTATGCCTAATATTATTTGGCAACCTACTAGAGAATTGTAGATTCTTAGAACACCCTTGCATACTTGTCATTACATCGGGGTGACATCGATCTAACGCATTGCTTTTGGGGATGCCCTAGCAAACCACCCTTTCTTATCATTGCATCGGGGTGACATCAATGCAACACGTCACGGTGGGGACGCCCCAACGAGTATTTTATAGGATTCATTTTTCATGTGGATCCGACTATGTTTTACACTGGCTATCGGCTACCTGCCCTTCTCCTTTATCTTTGTTTGGGACAGGATAAAAGAGGAGGGTTGATAAATATATTATAATATTACCATAGACATCAGCCTTCTGTATGAAAGTATCAGGATTTTGCTGATTGTTGATAAATATATTATAATATTATATATCTCATATATTCTTGGGATTTAGTGTTTGCATAAGTGACATCATTTGTCAGAAATGTTCTCCAAAATTCAGAAATGTTCTCCAAAATTGCTATCTGTTGCACATTATATGTAACCAATCAAGGAAAATAGGTATATTGAATTATTGATATGATATATTAGTAATACAATGATCCTGTAACTCTGAATAACTTAGCCTTTTTTGTTATCTGTTATATATTTAATAACATAGGAATTAGGAAACGGAATGGAAATACTATTAAGAGTAAAGTATCTTGATTCAACAATTATAAGCTTAATGTGATAATTAATTTTTGTGATTAAGCATCCATTGTATGAGTTATACAGGAAAGAAAATAAAAACAACACAGTGCATCTTCTACAGTTCTGTTTGTTAAATAGAGTTGGCTGGAGTTACTGTATAACTCCTCCTAACTCTTCCCATTAAGTCAATGACCCAGGTAATTGTGACGCCTACAATTTTCCTGAAACTTGTCAAATTTGCTATCTATTCTTGAGAGTTACCATTACAGCCCAATGCTGGAAATTCTCTCTCTCCTAATTCATTATAAACTTCTAGGGTTCTTTTGGTGAAAGGAGTATACGTGTAGTAGTCAAGAGAGGGAAGGAGGGAGGGAGGAAGGAATTATTACCAAACAGCCATTGTTTTTAACATTATGAACATGTGTTAGTTCTCTTATGAAGGAAAACAGTCATAATCACATAGTAAAATATCAAAGAAGCCTCTAAGCCTTGAGGAATTATGACAATCCATTTTTTTGGACGTGAGAATCTTATTCATCATGGGGATGAATGTTTGAATCCTTCTTTCAGTTTGTAACTCGGTATTATGTTGGGTGGAGCACGGGTTGTCATTTAGGTTAAAGCCTCAATGTGATTGAGTTGGTCTGTCTAGAAGGAAGGTAGTTTTCACAGGAGTCTCACTCTAAATTGCGGCAGAATACTTTAAAATTTATCCCATTCTTAATTTTTTTCATTAATTATCATTAGAAATTTTGGTTATGAACTAGTCCAAACAGCTCGGATGACAGTATTGATTTTTACTTGACTACTTTTATGCTATTGTAAGTAAAATTCTTAGGTCTTGTAGTTCTTTTTGGTTTAATTTATAATAATATAATGCATCCAATACTTCGATTCTTCCACATAATACATGCCTTTCTGTTTGTACTTTGACTTTATTCTTCTGTCATGTGCTATCATTTGCATACTTCATCTTAAAGATATAAATTCAGATGAATGGTCAACAGTAAAATCCAATAAATGCAAAGTTCTGTATGTTATCTTTAGTTAAGTTAATGGGTACTTGGAGCTCTCTTAATCCGTCATGCAACCAACTAAAGAGCTCTTTTGGTACGCTACACTCCAAACTAAAATGATTGATTTATCCAGAACAATTCTGTTTTAAACTTCAATTGGTTGTGCGTATGGGTTTGTAACTATTTATGTTAAAACAGTTATTTCAGTTTGTGTCCTTTATTACCTCTAACTCTCATGCTTTTATCTTTCTATCTTTTATTTATAGAAAACTGTTGCTTCCCCTGGACGTGGAATTCTTGCAATTGATGAATCCAACGCCACATGTGGTAAGAGGCTTGCCTCCATTGGTTTGGACAACACAGAATCTAATCGCCAAGCTTACAGACAGCTTTTGTTGACTACTCCTGGCTTGGGTGAATATATTTCTGGTGCCATTCTCTTTGAGGAAACACTTTATCAGTCTACAACTGATGGGAAGAAGTTTGTGGATTGCTTGCGTGATCAGAAAGTTGTGCCTGGTATTAAAGTTGATAAGGTGATTTAGTGCTACTCTGTCTTGCCTGATTCTTATTTTGGCTTTCTAAGGATTACTTCAAATTGGCAAAAAATGCTTTCAAGGCGGGGCGGGGGGGGGGGGGGCA